AGAAGCTCATTTAAATCGGAAATTTAAGACGATACAGAAGCACCCGGTAGTGTACCCATAACCTACAACAAAATGGGAATAAATTATGAATTGCAGCGTGTAAAGAGGTTAATACCGCCCCATAAAGATAGATAAGATGATCCCTGCTATTGAGGGATTCAAAGCTCAACAGCTGCACTCAAACAAAATCACTAAGCTGAGATCACCGGTTGGACAGAGGGAGAGCGCTCCACTAAGAAATGCATTTCTCCCATCTTGTGAATAATCTTCCGGTCACTTCATCCGATTGTTCCACCTTTGCAATTAGTATAGCTTGTTGCTTCAACATGTTGAAACCATTCAAACATCCCTTTTTTTCTCTAAGGCCAGAAACCCATGTCCTGCCACTAACCTATGCTACCAGTGTATACAGTCCCGAGAACCTAATCCACAAGCTCTAGGTAACTTTTTCAGTTAACATTGAGCGCACATTGCAGATTTAACAGCCAATACAGCGACGGACTTTAAATGCTCAACTTAAGCAACTGATTTAATTAGTTCATTCGACAGGCAAACGGGTAAACAGTTTTACTCCACGTAGCGTGGTAGCGTATTTGTTTTACGGTTCCGATACTAAAATTATTAATGGTATCCTTTAGGTACAAATCTAATCCACGATCGTTAAAAGGGTAATATATGGATAATATCCAATATATTAACAAAGAAGCAGGTAGCATTGCATTCTAGCCTATCGTTAAATGTAAATAAGGAGATTAGACAACAAATATTTCTCACATAATGATATAATGCTGACAGCTAATTGCGTGGTAATCCGATAACCTACCAATTGTTTTCTCGATGACAGCTTCGATGCTATTCGCAAAAAATAATAGTTTAAGGTTAAAGGAGAAGTAAATTAGCAGAATAAATCCCACAATTAAAACCACTTTAATGGAATATTCTTTATGCCTCTATTGTGGGGTATGCGATAGACTTACCTTCACGTGGTGCACCCTGGGCAACGTATACTCATACGCCAAAAAAGTCTATTAACCGGCAGTTGACTTCAAACCACCACGACCCCACTGTGTGACATATTCTACCACTTTCAGAGTGCCTCTTCTTCCCCCCTTTCGACTTTTTATCACTTTGATATTCCTCCTCCTCCTCTCCATGAAGCCCGAAGTCAGTTAAAGGGCTAATGATAACTATCAAAACGCATGCCATTTGAAATAAATAAATGTCTCTTTTGTTCCTTAGAAAGACGGAGCCCAAATTGACGAATATAATTTTCACTTTTTGGGTCTTGACAGTTATTTGGGACTCATTAGAAGAACTAGCTTCCACTCCATTGTTTAGGTAATCACCGTAATTATAAACGAAGATACGTCATTGCCTTTGAATAATCAACACTGGTGATTAAATTAGATTAAGCTTTTGGGTTTAACAGCTGTAGGCACCTGCGAAAATAATTCAAAGCTCGATCAAATTAACAAAAAAGAAGCAACGTTAAACCATACCTTGCTAAGGTCCACGCCAGTAATAGCTCTAACACTCGGAGGTACAGTAGCCGAAAGTCTCATAAAGTCCTTTCCCAGTCCATTGATAGTTGCCAATGGGGTAGATTTCGAGGCATCGCCGGACCCCTCCCCAATCATAACGATCTCGGTGGTTTTGGCAAGTGGTGCACAGACTTCTGCCGCAAGTGCTGGCAGTATATCGAGCACCAGGCGGAGTTTGGCTGCCTCCGTAAATCTGGCGAATGCTTCAGCGCGAGCCCGTAAGCCCTCTGCTTCGGCTGCGCCTGCTACCTGTGCCACTTCCGCACGGGCTGATCCAATGCTGCGTATGCCTTCTGATGTGGCCATTGCTGAAACCATCTTCATGTATCTACACAATTTAATGTATTATAAAGGGCGAGACAAATGAATTGCTACTTACATGAATATGTAGTGAAATATAGCAAAATGTTACGAGATACTCTATTCGGTATAGGATTTATTAAGCATGGATTTCGAAGGCTCATTTAAGTGCGCTATTAGTGCAGTAATTAAAGGACACTTTGTCAAATCAAACACTAAGAGTGACGTGAGGTGGCTCCAGGATATCTTCGCCCACTCAAGTTAAATATGATAAATAACTTCGAAAATAGGTTTGGGTGTCGATGGACGAAAAGTTCCATTCACATTTTACGAAACTTTTGGGCATTTAATCTCATTTGTCAAATAATTTTGCTTAATGTGTAAACATACTGCAGTAAATTGGTGCTACTGATAAAATCTACGCAGAATAGCTTTAGCTCCGTTCATGATTTGTCTAAGCTCTAGATTCAATTGATGTCACTCCATAATACGGGGAATTCCTCCTTCTCCCACCCCCCCCCCTCTCCCACTAACTACATTTTCTCGCATTTACTATCAGACTTCATTACGAGATTTAACGTAATTATTATGTTATAGTATCTAATAGTTGTAGAAAAGATTGTTTCATCCTCACATTATCTGGAATAAAATTAGGTTTTATATTCATTTTAAAATAATTCACTCTAGATGGAGAGCAAATAATGCGTATTTACTAGCGATCCAGCCTTAATATGAAGGAAAGTATAAACTAAACATGCGTGTAGAGAAAACAGCTTACTTTTCACCCTGAGCAATCTGCTCAATACGGAATGCTTCAGCCAGAGCTGGTTCATGAATGGTGGCCTCAAGGACCTTTTCGTTACGCTTCACTTCCTGTTCCTCGATCTCAATTCTCTTGGTCTTCTCCACAATCTCAACCTTCACCTCCTCGTCCTTGATAAACTGTCTCTCTTTAGCGGACTAAAACAGAATGAGCATGGGATTCAATTTAAGTATGAATAATAATAACTTACGTAGATGTATAATTTTACAGGAAACTAATGCCTTCCACATAGTGATGGAAGTCATAGGAGATAGGAAATCAGAATCCAGTCATTATAATAGAAACGAATGAAACACCGATTCAATTAAAAACAATATGTACTCAAATGTTCACCTTGCTTAGTACGCTTTAAAAGGTTAGTATGTGTGAACCCGCACTAATACAAAAGGAACGCTGGTCGAAATGTAGGAATGACAAAAAAGCGAGTATAAATTGTTTCTTAAATTCAATGAGAAACGTGCATGTGTAAGGGATTTGCTAGCATTAAACCATTTTTCAGTTCTTTCAGCAATAGACCCAATTAATTCGATTGAAAGTCCACCTTTCCTTAATAATCTGTATTAAAGAGTGTCCAACTCAGTGGTCAGAGCAAACATCAACCAATGGCCCAATGGTGGAAATCCAGTGGTGTGGGTTAACATCCGCCCCAGTTAATTCTGATCTACAACTGGGATCAGCGAACTGAACCAAGAATGCGAGACTATTGTAAGAGTGGTGTCAGGATACCTTACCAGAATTCAGGTCAAATATTGCAAGCTTATCTCCTAATGAGCTAATTTTGATCATAGTAAGATGAAAGAAACATTTCCATCCACTAGATTTAAAAAATGCAAGAAAGTAGTGTTCACAAAATATAACAATTAATGGAATACTTCATGAATACATACCAACTTGCACATAAAATTTTACTTGATTCATCTTCAATGGGGATAGTATCTAAATGGAACATGTTATTATCAAATTCATTTGGTGCAGCAATATTTTTAAAAGAAATTTTTAGGCTATTTTAGACCAATTCTCAAGACAGCATTTAATTGGCTCTGAGAGTACGTAAATAACAATCTGCTCAATTTGTATTTATAGTGAGAAAACAAAGAGTTGGACCACGGAGTTTACAATTTGGAACGTCTTGGCGAAATGGACTCGAACTGCTAAGGAAAAGACAGACTGCTAGAATTTACAGGAACGACAAAATTCTCCCACCATATTTTCCCGAATTCCTCAACCTAAGATGAACTATCCTGTTGTTCATTGCGTTTAGACACTTCGCTATTATCTAAAAGTCGGAATTTTCCATTTTGCACAAAAACAGACAAGAATAGTGGAATTGAGTCTTCGGGCCTAATTTCCCTAACTTAATACAAAGATTTTATCGATTTGATTAGGTCTAAGTGTTTCGAAAACCGACAAGCTGAGTTAAGGAATTTACCATCCTCCAATCTAACTAAAAGAGAAGCTTAAGGCCACTAAATGACAAAGACATTTCTAGCATCTAGTGGGGGTGCTTGACCTGAAGACCCAAAACACATGCCCTAATTTCATTATTGTTTGTGGCAGACTACAAGAAAATTACTACTTGTGAAAGTTATGCCGTTTTAACCCGACTTTCTTTTTTTCACTGTAGAATCAATGGCCTGTTAAAATAAACGCAAGAACACGCTCACAACTTGTCACACAGTAGAATGAATAAACAACAGGCAACCTATTAATAAGCCTCTGCTAACCTGCAGATCGTCTGCTAATTCCGCTTCAGCTTGAGCCTTGTTGACTTCCATGTCGAATGATGCCTTCTGAACCTCGAATTCACGTTGATGATCAGCAATGGATTCATCCACCTTGCATCGCACCTCCATTCGGGCCTTTTCACATTCCGCCTCCTAATCATAAAAAATAGAAGTGAATCAATAATACGTGTGATTAGTTTACATTATGATGAAATCAGAGGTAGAATAGATTCAAATTCAAAGACACTATTTAGTGTTTCTTTTAAGATGACATCTTTAGTACAGCTTTGGTGGAATGGAGCTAAATACCGACAAGAAGTCGAGAAGATAAACTCAAGACGACAGTATTTATGGTTTGTTTTAAAATAAGGCAGTCTCCCGGATTATCATTAGGTCATTCATCATCCTCATCGATATGAACAGTTCTTACCTCTCAGAGTCAAAGTTAACTCCAGTTTAACGATGTCTGGCAGTCCGCCATTACAGGAGAGGAAGCAGGACTTTCTAGCGTTAAGACTATATATGAGTGGCTTATTTTTGGAGACACATTATCGATATGTATACAATAGATACCGTAGTCATTCTCAGTCAATATGTAGGTGGTACAGATTCAAATTCCATCGTCAAGTGAACAATAAGATAATTTCTACAGATAGACTCATTAAGTCAATTATAACTTGAGTTCCTCTAAATTTGGAGGACTAGTTCGTTAAATGGCATCGATACAAACCCTTAAGGAGAGCCAAAAAGTAATTGGTATGACCGTTTCTAGTTGATGCTGTTCAGTTTAGTGATATGACACCTTTCAGAAACACGATAAATAACACTAGGGGAAGTCATATTGTAGATAAATGTCTTTTAAAAATATACAACAACAATTTGGCTATCGAGAATTATCCCCTATAACTTAATATTCGAGGAAATGAGAACATTTGAACATGTGCCTATATTCTTAATTTAATGTGATGTGCAAAACTCATCCACGAAATGCCCTTTTTTAAATTATTTCAAGCACCCCAATCGGGAGGCGAAAAGCAACCATTAGAAATAAGGCTAATTTGGCAATTTTAAAAAGAAGAAAAACAATAGATGAAAGTAGCAGCAACAAAATTTATATCGAGATTGGCAATGACTGAACAAAGCAATGACGGAACACTTATTAGAATTAAGGTTAATGCACCCGACGACAAATGAAGCATCTACTTTAAAATATTTACCACAACTATGTAAACCAGTATCCACTGTCAGGTAAAAGCACACAAAAATAATAATAATAATAATATACGTACAATAATTCCAGCGTCTCTTTCTGCTTCGGCCACACCGATGTTTGCATCACGTTTAACTTTCGCAATCTGAGGTCTACCGAGAGAGTTGAGATACTCGACATTATCAAAGACGTCTTTGATAGTAAAACTGAGAATCTCAATTCCCATTCTACCAACATCGGGAGCTGCCACCTCTCTAACAAGAGATGCAAACTGATCTCGGTCCTAGATTTAATTAAGTACTATTCGTAAAAATTACACAATTATACATATATATAGAAATATAGTTGCGACTTACTTTGTAGATGTCTTCAACTGTTAAGGTGCCAAGAATAGCGCGAAGATGGCCCTCCAAAGTTTGTAGGATGGTATTTTGAATACGATCAATGTTTAAATCTAGAAATTGCTCACATGCCAGGGGTAGAATTAGTTCATCTGAGAGCACTTTCACTTGAGCGACACCAGTAACAGTGAGAGGAACTCCCTCAGTAGTTTCAACATGCGTGCAAGTAGGATTGAGAGTCATTACCTCAAGCGAGATTCTAAAAAATGTCATTTAACAAAATGAAAGAATCACTTCTGGACATTAGACAAACAGCACCATGCCCATCCCCAACCACCAATTATGGTTCGAACTTTGCGACCACCAAAGCAGCCACCTGAATACTGTACGTTAAATACAAATAAAAAACCTCACCCGAAATAACAAGTGCTTTATTTGGTCCAACGGTGTGAACAGCACCCATGTTGACCCAGAGGAAGGCGACGGTAATTGACTCGCTCGTATTGTGCCCCTGATTATATTCCAAGATGTTAATATGTTTGAAATAGTTAAAGAACAATATTAAATAACAGGTATGTTTATTACAGTGAATGTAAATTAGCTTTGCTTATTAAATTCTAGTAATAAAATAACAGAATAAATAACACATTAAACTTCCATATTTTTAAATTTGTTATAGGAATTTTTAATTAATTTAGGTTAAGTGACAATGCATGAATAAATGCACAAATTTTGACCAAAATAAGTCATATATTGGAGGGATTATAATTATATATTGAACTTCATTGCCACCAAATATATATTTTAAATAGAGCTCGATATAGCTATTTTCCGTTGCTTAAATTATGACATGGATTTTAAGCTTAATTACAAGTGAGAACTTGCTTAAAAAGATTCCAAATATATACATTTGGTGTGCTCATGGATCTGGCAATCTTATTGACAATCCATTTTTACTTCTTTGCCTTTTGTTTTGAATGTGCAGGGGTGTGCGACAGACTTACCTCCACGTGGTGCACCCTGGGCAACGTATACTCATACGGCAAAAAAAGTCTATTAACTGGCAGTTGATTTCTGACTTCAAACTACCATGGCCCGACTGCTTGTCATATTCAACCCCTTCAACAGCACTCATCTTGCCTTTTTTCTACCTTTGTGTCTGTCTGTCTCTTTTGCATCTGTGAACCACTCTCGACTTTTTTCGCTTTGACGTTCCTTCCTCTCTGTGAACCCTGAAGTCATCTAAAGGGCTAATGATAACTATAAAAACGCCTGCCATTTGATATAAATAAATTTTAAATATGCATTTGCATCCACTATTTTTTTAACAAAGTAACGGTCAAAATGGAATTATATCCTTATTTCACGTTTGGTAATCCTCATATAGATATTGCTAGGGTCCAAACTATCTGTTATTTTTCCATTAACTACTTTAATCGGCAAAAGGTAATAGTTCAATTAATGTTCTTAGTAAACATTCCAAAGTATAAATCATGTATAAAATTGTTTTGCCAGTTAAAAGCCTACACATTTGAAGATAATTTTTACTTATATTGGCGTTCATTTTATTTTTAATCGTATGATAGTAAAACTATATAATATCGTTTAAATACAATTTTTTACTATAGCGATTGCTTCACATCTTTAATAAACAGACATTATGTCGCTTCCCTTTATACCACCTCACAACAGGATGACTAGATGGCCCGGCTTCCTCCTCACTGAAGGGATTTTCTAGTTCGCGTTGCATACTCAAATGCAACCTGATGAAGACGCGTTTTCTCCAAACCTTTTGCATGCTTTCCAACTAGATAATAGCCGAAGGTCTCTAGTTATTACATGCTATGAATTGACAGTCAATTGTTACTTCATTTTTGGTCTTTAAGACACAGGAGCTCACAGAAGGAATTATTATTAAAATGTCGATGAAAATTTAAGTCGACTAAAGTTATTTAATTTAACCACAGTGGACTTAGCTGGATGGAAGATATAAGTACAAACTTTTCATTATTTTAGTATTTAATCTGTGTCTAGAAAACATTTTCTCAAAAAATATTAGAAATTGAGGTGCATTTATGGAGGAAATCCGAAAGTATATCACAAAAAAATGATCCAGAATACTAATTAGATATCCATTAAAAATTAATGTAAACAATGATCAATAGGTACCGATTACTAAATTGTATTTGGTACAGTTCGATATAAAAAATAAAATATTAAGGCCATTGGCTATTGTCTTTTTCTATGAGGTCTTCCTGTAAACCTGTGATGACTTGATATCGCCCACGTTATAGGTCTACAAAATATAAGATATAGGATTGACATACAACACATGTAAATACAAAAAGAAAAAAATGATTAACTTAGTGGGGTGCGCGATAGACTTACCTCCTCGTGGTGTACCCTGGGCAACGTATACTCATACGGCAAAAAAGTCTATTGATCGGCAGTTGACTTCTGGCTTCAAACTACCCTCACCCCACTGTATGTCTTATTCCACTACTTTCACAGTACTCACCTCACCTTTTCTCTGCCTTTGTGTCTGTCGATCTGTCTCTTTTACATCTGTTAATCACTCTTCTGTTGATGATCAATTTCAGGTTGGTCACTCAATCAGAAGCCTTAAGCACTAAAATTTATGTAACTGTACCAGAACCAATATTTTTGAAAAAAATCAGATGGAGATAATGATTAAAACGAAAACCTTTCTTGGGTCCACGCTAGAAAACAGTGCAGCTTGATTCATTTATGCCAAAAAGAATAAAGCTGGTATGATATTGTCACCGCCATTTCTCACTGGGTACCTTTTACACTGCAATTATTTGTCTAAATAGGAGTGACGTAACTTATTAAACTGATCAGTAGAACTCGTATTAAGTTGAGGAGTGGAGATTTCAGAAGATGACGTAAGAAAGTTGAATTAATCACCGGTGCAAACATGATAGCTGGGCCAGACATATGTTGGTTTACTAAATGTTTCTGTTTAGTAGACCAAGTAACTATATTGCAAATTTATCTCTTCTCGAAAAATCGAAAGTTAGGAATTGGGAATAGTATGCACTGCAAGCCAAGCATTTCGTTAAACTTAAACGCGTAATAGAGATAGCCAACTATCACCGCACTTACCTTCACCTGACATTAACCGGAAGCCGATCTGGGGCTTAGTGTATCTATTGATCGAATCAGGTCATTTGGTAATCATCATGGCTAACATTCAAGGTAAAGGTTAGAGGTCACGATTGAAAAGGCCACTCCCCCCCCCCTGTCTCACTAGTTCCATACTCAGCGTCTCGGTCTCTATCTTATAAACACTGTCCACGTAAAATTTACTTCCAGATGATACATGATATGACTTTTAAAGACTTGCTACAAGTGGCATAATTTCCGCATTTTAAAACTGAACATGTAAATGAATTTGAATTATAAATAAAGAATCTGGTGAATCTGACACCATAAAAGACGACTAATTCGAACAGACCGTTTTATTCCAAATCAAAACGCAAAGTGTTTATTTCAAAGTTTAACTGAATGAGTATGTAAAATTGGGTGTGGAAAGATCATTTCTTGTAATAAATAAAAAGGCATTAAAATGTGAACAATACGCCTTCCAAGAGCAATAATTATAGACAAATATATCGAGAACGATAGATCTGAACAAATATCAATAAATATGCCGAATTTTATTAAAACTTACTACAAACATTGTGTCTCCTTCCACTTTTCGAGTTGTTTGGACCAGACCCTTGTCCGTATTTTGTTCTTGCTTCATAACACCATCCTCAAACCATATCTTCGACTTCAAACAAAAGCGAATTAACATTCCACACAGAATTCAAGGAAATAAGATAATTATAAGTGGAATTCATTCAGTTAAAAATATAGAAATCTTGGAAATTTGTCAGTTTTGGGAACTTAGTCTATAGCAAAGTTGTGATTCTCTTTTCGTTAAGTTAAGCATGCATAGCTATTATCATCAAGGTTTAAATATTTAATGTGAGTTCATTCACTTATTTGTTGAACTTAAATTCGACATAGTACTTAGTGGATACAAGTCCGCTCTAAGCATATCTCGCCGCTATCTATACGTTGTACACTTAACTAAGGTTTAAAAGGAGGTCCTTAGGTACGTATTTGGGTGAATTAAGTCGTACTGGCCTTCTTATATGCGGCCCAAGATGAAACAACAACTCTTGCAATTGGAAAGTCTCCCCGCCTTCCATAAGTGCCTATCAATATGGCCCCAAGCAAGCCATTTGGAAGAAACTATAGTTATGAATTCATTAAGACTACATACATCGAAATGTGTATGATCACGCTAAAGTTACTATCAATATGGAAGGATAAGTAAATACTTATACTTACGTCCATGAATCCACCTCTCATTGTAGATTCCTGGAAACCCTCTCCAACTTTGAAAACTCCTCCCGTTGTTTTAGTGATCGTCGAGAGTTCGGTCTTGTATTCATCTGGATTCTCGGTTTTAGAGAAAGTCAGTGAAGCAGGCATCCGAACTGCGATTTTTGAAATCAGATAAGGCACACCGACAGAATTGAGAAACTTATCGAAATTCTCGTGAGTTTGGTATTTCCAGCAACCAATGAATGGCTCCATTCATCAGGATGTTAAATGAAGTGAAAAGACAACTTGCTTAAGAATGAGTGATTTTCGGTGTGCAGACAACCCATCTATTTATAAACTGGTGCCTTTTGACTGGTTGGAAGAACCAAGGTCATTTGAGGTAAACCCACGTTTATAACCAATTGCGGCTTCAACAACTGCACTCCTTTCGTTCAAGTGCTAAAGTCTATTTACTGCAAACTAGAGAGCAATATTTTCAACTTAATAGAGCGGAACTAAATGGAATTTTGGTAACATCATTATGAAAATGATTGCTTGAAGGAGCCAATTCCTTATTCATCAGAGAAGACATAATTAGAATGCCATATTTAAATCCTAATTTCAATTCAACTCCACAAAGTTAGTATTTATATTTATTTATTTCAAATGGCAGGCTTTATGATATTTATCATTAGCCCTAAATGTCGGATCGCAAGGCGGGCGGAGAAATCGATATTGGAAGTAACGAAGTAGCCCAGCCCCTAAGCCGACTGTATTTATATTTAATCCGTTTAATTAAATTGTCTTTTATATAAGATACAAATTGAGTAACAAATGCCAAACTTTAACCAAACTTTTCGTCAATTTCTCCAATTTAGACTTGAAACTAAGAATGAACCCTTTATTTAGTAACGATTTCCTTCCCGTTCTCTTAAAGCTTTATTTACTAATATTTAAG